GTACCTCCGGCGGAGGTGGTCCATCCAGCCCATCCATCTCGTGGAGCGGGCTGAATAGGCGCTGACGAACGTCGCGCTCAAGTACTCCTCGAACCGGTGTTCCTGGCGTGCGCGTGCCGGTGGCCATCGCAAGAGATAGGAAGGAAGCTGGAAGTGAGCGGGTGGTGATTGTCCAGGTTCGCCGCTTCTCCTGGCCGGTGCCAGGGCTTGAGGCGCTTGAGCCAAATGCAGTCTCTCCTGCCGTCCCTGTCAAAAACGACTGCGAAGTGGTCGTGGGGCGCCTGCGCATGATTCGGATTTGGAGGCGAAGTGTATCTTGTATTGCTTTTGACCGGGATGGTGGAGGGGGTGGCTCACGGCTTTGGTTTGGCTTTCGGTCGGATGGGGGAGGGTTTTTTTGTTCATAGGGAGCAGTGATCAAGCTACCCACTAGCAACAAACCATTTCGCTCATTCCCACCCGCCCGCCCAAACATAATTAACACCCGAGTCTCAGCAGAAGCAGGGTCCGCCATCGACAACCATCGGGAACTAGTGCAGACGCCAACCAGGTGCGCGAACCCCGCGAGGTGCGCCGCCAGGTGCGCCGCGCGCGCCAGGTGCGCCACATCGGGCAATACGTCGACCTCCCCAGTATCCCTGTAGAGAAGTGACGGTGAGCTTGCGCCATCTTAACGTGGATGTCCACCCGCAGTCACTCTGCAAGTGTCTTTGACAGGGATAGTGGGCCTGCGCTCGACGGGCAATCTACCCCCCCCCGCTGTCCCTGGCAGGATGCACGCTCCACTTTTCATGCTTTGTTGGAGGGGATGGTGGGCCTGTGCAGGGCAGGCGGAATGCGTGTGCTGCATGCCGTCGCCGTCCAAAAAACCCAGCACACAGCGACCGCGGGGCGCGCTCACACGATCCGGATGCTGGTGCAGTGTGCGCTTGCGCTGTTCTGTTGCGGGAGTGCTGGCTCTGCGCGCAGCGGGCGATCTGCCGGGCCTCCCGTTGCTCCCGTCCACAAGCCATGCGCAGTGATCGCGAGGCGCAGGCGCGTGATCCAGATTTTGGTGCAACATGCACTTTGGAATGGTTCTTCGCAAGGGATGGCGGGGATGGGGGTTGGCACTGGCCAGGGTCTTGTCGCTGGTCGGGTGCGGGAGGGGGGCGGGAGGGGGTGCATATTCATGAGGAGCAGTGATCCAGACACCTCTCCCAGGCGCAAACTGCTTGGCTCACTCCCACCAGCGTTCCCAACACAACCCAGGTCTCATCATATGCGACGCTGGGGCGAGGTGCGCTAGGCGCGCCACGCGCACCAAGCGTGCAGGCACGCCTGATGCGCCAGATGCGCCACGTGCTCGCCAGGTGCGCAACGTTCGGGGCTCGCGCAGAGTGTACCAGGTTCGCCCGTGCCTAGCGGGGAACATGTCGTCCCCTGCCATCCTTGTCGAAAGCCAGTGCCAAGTCACGGCGAAGTGGCCATCATGACGTCTGGTGGGCCTGCGCACAGCAGGCAAAACGCAAGCACCCCCGCCGCCCATGACAACAGCCACTGCAAATGGATCGCCGGGTGCCCGCGCATGATCCAGATTCTGGTTCAAAGTGTATTTTGAATTGCCTATCGACAGGGATGTTTGCACTGCGCACAGCAGGCCATATGCTGGCACCTCTGCTGCCCCTGTCGAGAACACAACTACACAGTGCTCGCGGGCCACCCGAACAACAAAGTCCACTTTGCATTGTGTTTTGACAGGGATGGGGGGGCACTGTCCCTGGATTGTCGGTCGGGTGAGGGAGGGGGGGTCTTTTGATAAAGGAGCAGTGATGAACCCCTCCCCGAAGGGGAAGAGGGGAGTTGGAAGAGGGGAAGAGGGCAACGCCTTAAATCACATACGCCCTATAGGGCTGGTGGAATTGTCATGGTTGCGAGCCCAACGTGATAATGATACTCTTCATACTGATAGGATCATGTCCTCAATCGGGATTATGTTTCACTCCTTCGCGTTAAATGTTCCATCACCACTTCAGCCCAGCGCTTGCCCTCGCCTTCGGCCCTCACCGTGGTGGCGCCCTCACTCTCCCCTTCGCCGTCGACCGTGTGCCGAGGTGAAGCGGCCGTGCGAACGCACCGACCCTGCTCGCGACGTCAACCGCGCACATACGCGCACGTGCTCGATGCCTTCACGGCTTCTCGCCCCTCCTCTGTGTGAAGACGCGGCGTTTGGCTGGCCTTGCTGGAGGGCGGACGCACGCCCAGACGCAGCTGGGCGGTTTGCGCCCGTGCGCTCGCACGCGGATGCGAGCGCATGCGCCTGCAACGTCGGAGAAGCAGGAGGGGGGAGAATGACGAGGAGGACGGGAAGCAGCAGCAGTAGCAGCGGGAGGAGGAGGAGGAGGAGGAGGGGGAGGAGGAGGGGGAGGAGGAGGAGGAGGAGGAGGAGGAGGAGGAGGAAGGAGGGACGAGAGTGAGGAACGTAAGGGGGACAGATTTGCGACGTCGTGATTCTGTTCCACAGCATGTGCCCCGGCAGGTCTGGGCCTTTCTTCCACGGCCCCGTTTCTCGCCATGGGCCGTTGTTTGACGTCCCGGGCCCGGGGTGGAGGTCCCAGGGGGATCGAAAACAGTCCGAAAGCCCCCCCCCCCCCGCCGTGAATCTCTCCGCGCCAGGGGGGGGAGGCGGGCTTGTTCCAACTGGCACGAGTGCCCGTGAATCTGGCCACGGGGCCACGCTGAAGATCTCGCAGGCGACTCCCGCGAGCGTGGGGCGCCGCCCACTCTTTGAGGGCACGCGCCGCCGGCGCCTGCCGACTCGCTCACCAATGTCCTCTCGGCGGTGCGCCCTCCGTAGCCGTTTTGGCGCAAGAGATATTCTTGCTCGAGCCACTCTGGCTGGGACGAGTTTCGCTTGGCCAGAGGAATACGCACACGCATCACCGAACCTCCCCTCGACGCGCACGCGATGATCGCCCAGAAGACGCTCACCCGTTCGTCCCTGTGGATCCTGCTCCTCGCGCACGGCGTCTTCGGCTCGACCGCCGCGTCGGAGGTTGACACTCAGGGTTGCGAGGGCGCGACCGCCATGATGGTCACGAGTGCCGTGGTGGACGCCATGCTCCTGCAGCTCGACACGAGCGCCGCGCCCCGACAGGAGGCTCCCAGAGCCCCGGGCCCCCGCGCCGAGGCGGACGCGGCCCCGCGCCCTGCTCCCACCGGGCGTGGGCGGAGGGCAGCAGCAGCACCAGACGAGTGGATTGGTCTCTGGCAGAACAGCAATTTTTACGGCGGAGTAGAGATTGAGATCACTCCGACGACATGGCGCCCTATCAACCCAGCAGGGCCAGTCTGGTCCACGTCCACGTATACTCTGTTGCAGGTAGACGGCACATCGTGGAGCTTGCGTGAAACGGTAGCAGACGGTACCAGTTACGATCACATCATTCAGACCGTCAGTGAAAATGTAATCCGGGTGAGTTACCCGAGCGGGGCTGTTAGTTGGGATCTGAGTCGTGTGGGGACGTTGGCGCCTACGCCAGCGCCGACGCCACCACCTACACCAGCTCCGACGCCAGCGCCGACGCCATCTCCTACACCAGCTCCGACGCCAGCGCCGGCTGGCGCCTCCGCCAGCGCGACGGGGGACCCGCATTTGCAGAACATCCACGGTGAGCGGTTCGACTTGATGAGGCCTGGCAAGGCCGTGCTGATCCAGATCCCACGTGGAAAGCCCGCCGAGGCCGCGATGCTCACCGTGGTGGCAGATGCGCGCCAGATGGGCGCACTCTGCGGAGACCTATATTTCCTGACGCTCAACATCACAGGGGCGTGGGCCAACAAGGCGAGGGCCGGCGGGTTCATCTTCACCGCCGAGGGAGTGCGCGACGAGTCGCTGAGCTGGACGAAGATCGGCCCTGTGGAGCTCAAAGTCGTACACGGCCGCACGAACCAGGGCATCAAGTACTTGAACTTGTATGTGAAGCATCTGGGACATGTGGATGCTGTTGTTGGTGGACTGTTGGGAGAAGACGACCACACCGATGCTGCGCAGCCTGCCGAGAACTGCCGCAAGGTTGTCTCGTTGGCGAAGGGAACGACTTGGAACACCGACTCCACGGCGAGTGCCACGGCCGTCTCCGAGGCTATTGCGAGCCTGCCGTAGGCTCCTTCTGAGTGCCCCGTGTTTTGTGTCAATTGCAGGGCTCATCGTTCCCTGCTCCCTGTTGCATTGGTACATGCTAGGATTTGCTCTGGTACATGCTCCTGTCCCTTTTGAGCTGCCCCCCCGAGAAGGATGTTCGCGACAACTGTGACATCGCCTTTTTGTAGCTGGTCAGCCCGAAACACGTTGCCGGTCCTCTCGGCGGTGCGCCCAGGGGGGAAGGCAGAGGGGACGGGTAATGTGGCTGAGGAGGAGGAGGGGGAGAGGGAGGAGGAGGAGGGGGAGGAGGGGGAGGAGGAGGAGGAGGAGGAGGAGGAGGAGGAGGAGGAGGAGGAGGAGGAGGAGGAGGAAGGAGGGACGAGAGTGAGGAAGGTAAGGGGGACAGATTTGCGACATCGTGATTCTGTTCCACTGCATGTGCCCCGGGAGGTCTGGGCCTTTCTTCCACGGCCCCGTTTCTCGCCATGGGCCGTTGTTTGACGTCCCGGGCCCGGGGTGGAGGTCCCAGGGGGATCGAAAACGGTCGGAAAGCCCCCCCCCCCGCCGTGAATCTCTCCGCGCCAGGGGGGGGAGGCGGGCTTGTTCCAACTGGCACGAGTGCCCGTGAATCTGGCCACGGGGCCACGCTGAAGATCTCGCAGGCGACTCCCGCGAGCGTGGGGCGCCGCCCACTCTTTGAGGGCACGCGCCGCCGGCGCCTGCCGACTCGCTCACCAATGTCCTCTCGGCGGTGCGCCCTCCGTAGCCGTTTTGGCGCAAGAGATATTCTTGCTCGAGCCACTCTGGCTCGGACGAGTTTCGCTTGGCCAGAGGAATACGCACACGCATCACCGAACCTCCCCTCGACGCGCACGCGATGATCGCCCAGAAGACGCTCACCCGTTCGTCCCTGTGGATCCTGCTCCTCGCGCACGGCGTCTTCGGCTCGACCGCCGCGTCGGAGGTTGACACTCAGGGTTGCGAGGGCGCGACCGCCATGATGGTCACGAGTGCCGTGGTGGACGCCATGCTCATGCAGCTCGACACGAGCGCCGCGCCCCGACAGGAGGCTCCCAGAGCCCCGGGCCCCCGCGCCGAGGCGGACGCGGCCCCGCGCCCTGCTCCCACCGGGCGTGGGCGGAGGGCAGCAGCAGCACCAGACGAGTGGATTGGTCTCTGGCAGAACAGCAATTTTTACGGCGGAGTAGAGATTGAGATCACTCCGACGACATGGCGCCCTATCAACCCAGCAGGGCCAGTCTGGTCCACGTCCACGTATACTCTGTTGCAGGTAGACGGCACATCGTGGAGCTTGCGTGAAACGAAAGCAGACGGTACCAGTTACGATCACATCATTCAGACCGTCAGTGAAAATGTAATCCGGGTGAGTTACCCGAGCGGGGCTCTTAGTTGGGATCTGAGTCGTGTGGGGACGTTGGCGCCTACGCCAGCGCCGACGCCACCACCTACACCAGCTCCGACGCCAGCGCCGACGCCATCTCCTACACCAGCTCCGACGCCAGCGCCGCCTGGCGCCTCCGCCAGCGCGACGGGGGACCCGCATTTGCAGAACATCCACGGTGAGCGGTTCGACTTGATGAGGCCTGGCAAGGCCGTGCTGATCCAGATCCCACGTGGAAAGCCCGCCGAGGCCGCGATGCTCACCGTGGTGGCAGATGCGCGCCAGATGGGCGCACTCTGCGGAGACCTATATTTCCTGACGCTCAACATCACAGGGGCGTGGGCCAACAAGGCGAGGGCCGGCGGGTTCATCTTCACCGCCGAGGGAGTGCGCGACGAGTCGCTGAGCTGGACAAAGATCGGCCCTGTGGAGCTCAAAGTCGTACACGGCCGCACGAACCAGGGCATCAAGTACTTGAACTTGTATGTGAAGCATCTGGGACATGTGGATGCTGTTGTTGGTGGACTGTTGGGAGAAGACGACCACACCGATGCTGCGCAGCCTGCCGAGAATTGCCGCAAGGCTGTCTCGTTGGCGAAGGGAACGACTTGGAACACCGACTCCACGGCCGTCTCCGAGGCTATTGCGAGCCTGCCGTAGGCTCCTTCTGAGTGCCCCGTGTTTTGTGTCAATTGCAGGGCCCATCGTTCCCTGCTCCCTGTTGCATTGGTACATGCTAGGATTTGCTCTGGTACATGCTCCTGTCCCTTTTGAGCTGCCCCCCCGAGAAGGATGTTCGCGACAACTGTGACATCGCCTGTTTGTAGCTGGTCAGCCCGAAACACGTTGCCGGTCCTCTCGGCGGTGCGCCCAGGGGGGAAGGCAGAGGGGACGGGTAATGTGGCTGAGGAGGAGGAGGGGGAGGGGGAGGAGGAGGAGGGGGAGGAGGGGGAGGAGGAGGAGGAGGAGGAGGAGGAGGAGGAGGAGGAGGAAGGAGGGACGAGAGTGAGGAAGGTAAGGGGGACAAATTTGCGACGTCGTGATTCTGTTCCACAGCATGTGCCCCGGGAGGTCTGGGCCTTTCTTCCACGGCCCCGTTTCTCGCCATGGGCCGTTGTTTGACGTCCCGGGCCCGGGGTGGAGGTCCCAGGTTAATTAGGCCGATGGACCATTGTAGTTGGCCCCACTGGGTGAAATTGCCGATCCAAGCCGAAATGGCACTTTTCTATGGAATCTGGGAAGCCAACGAAAACTCGAGTTAGGCAGAAAAATCGTTGAACGACAGAAGTCGCAAAGGTCGCAAGTCGCAAGTCTTTGTTTGCGCAAGTTCGCAGCAAGTTGGCCTTACAGCGGTCCATCCATCGACGCTCGGAAGCGAGGGAAAGTGTGAGGGGATGGAATCTCGGAAGCAAGGGCCTCCAATATTGCACAAAAGCGAAAAGGAAATAATTTGCCTGACGAAAGACCCACCCATATGCAAGTGCGAGTACCGCAGGGCAGGTGGGACGAAAGATGGGGCGCTCCCTATTGGGCCACGAACCGTATGAGGGGCGTGCCGACACTGAAGGGGGATCCGAAGGAAGGCCTCAGGAAGGCCGCGGACTCGGGGCAGCTTCTTTTTGAAGTGCGGTCTCTCGGAGGGCCTCGCAGAGAAGTTTTTGAAGCCCCTCGTGGCTCTGTAGAGAGAGTGTGAGAGTCCTCAGGAAGCCTCTTGGCCGTATTGGAATGCTCTTGGCGGTCCCTTGGGCCGTCTTGGACGCTTGCATGACGAAAAAAGCGAGTGAGCGAAACAGGTACGTTTCCTATAGGACTCAGAACATGGTCGACTCTTCTGGCTCTCTCGGCGGCCATCTAGGAGCACTCTTGGGCCGTCTTGGGGGCCGCGTTGGTCACCGCGCACCCATGTCGGACCGTCGTGGGATTACCTTGGGTCAGTTTAAAGCCCTATCGAATTATCTTGGCGCTCTGTGTGAGCCCTCCTGGGCTGCTTCGAGCTCTTTTCAAGCTCCCGAGGCTCCAGGTCAAGCGTTCGCGAAGCCATAGGCCCGGGGAAGGCCCCCCTCAAAACGTCATTTTGGGCCCCAGTGGATCGGGAAGACTTGAGGGGCACAGCCAAATGTCTCACACGCATTCCCCCCCCCAAGTGGGAGTGGGCGGATTTTGAAAGATTCGCACGGCAGTGGGCATCTAAGAAAAACGGTGGTCGTTGGCGCCACGATGTGGCCCACGTATGGCCGGGAGGGGCTGTCCCGCAGTTGACGACCATCATTTTGTATGCTCCACTCCAATTACACATGTGTACTTCAATTCTTCGCTGGTCAGTGCACATCTCACAGGAATGGTGGTCGTTGGCCAGCGGCCTCTGGCCCTCCCCAGGCCTTTAATTGGTTTTGATTGCTGCGCACGGCAGCGAGCATTTTAGAATAATGTTGGCCGTTGACGCCACGATGTGTTCCACGTATGGCCGCCGGGTGCGGGGGCTGACATGTCGAGCTCCCCGCCCAAAGAGCCCCCCAGGAGTCCAAGAGGTCCCCAGGAGACCCCCAGCAGGCCCTCAAGAGGCCCCAAGAGGCCTCGAGAGGCCTCCAGCAACCCCCCAGAAACGCCCAAGAGAGCACTGGGACTGCCCCAACAAGACCCCGGAACGGCTGGAGGCGCCTCCACAAACCTTCACAGCGTCAAACGGACAACGCGGGAACCAACGTCATGCGCGCTGTAGGCATCCTCTTCTTTGCTGTTCTGTTTTCTCGCAAGTCATGCCCACTTGTACTCCAAGGTCGGGGTTCGTGGCAATATCAGGTTTTTCCCCGACCTGGCGGAAGGGGCTCCCGTTTAGTATCCCCCTGGGGGGGTCTGGGGGGGGGACCCCCCGGGACATGGCCCCGGCGACGGGCGGAACGCCTGCAGAAGACGGCGGAAGACGGCACCACGCGGCCCCATTTCTGCATGCGCGCTTCCGGGAGGCACGGACGGCCCCAAGATGGTCCACGAGATGGTCCAAGAAGGGTTCGAGTCGCCGAAAGATCGGCCAAAGACGCCCCAGATGGGTCCAAGATGGCCCACGAGGCCGCCAATGCACCCCAAGAGGCCTCCAAGAAGCCGCCCAAGAGAGCCCCACAAGGCCAAAATCGTTCATTTTACGTAGGTTTTTGACAGATGTTTGCCTTCGCGCCATTTCGGCTTCCCGACGCTCCAAGACGGCCCAAGAGGCTTCCAAGACTGCCCCAAGACCGCCCAAGAGGCCCCCAATACGGCCCAAGAGAGGCCCAAGACGGCCCAAGAGGCGCCCAAGACGGCCCAAAAGAGCCCCAAGACGGCTCCAAGAGAGGCCCAAGAGAGGGACCACGAACCGAAAATTCAGCTTTCCGCCTTAAAAGGCCCGCAGAAGGCCCCAAGAAGCCCCCAAGAGGCCTCCGTAGCCATTTTGGCTCCAGCCATTTTGGTTCAAGCGTGGCTCGACAGCTCCGACTTTTGGGTTCGTGCTCCCCTCGCGCTTCGGCACTGGACGCGGCCGCCTGAGGCGAGCGTGGCGTGCCCCATCAGCTGCCACTGCGACTATGGCATGTCTGGCATCTTGTTGGGCATATTTATAATTCCCGCCGCGGGCGTGTTCACCTTCTTTCCCGTCTTCCTGAATTGGTTCGCGTGGGAATGGTACTTCGACCTGTGCTGGCTCTGGTTTTGCCTCGGGGTCGTCATCCTGACGTTCGGCTGCGTCTACGAGTGCTGCGTCGGTGTTCCCGACGCGAAGGCCCGGAAGGCAGAGGCGGACGTCGAGGACGGCGCCGTGAATGCCCCTGCGCCGTACATTATGATCAACAACTAGTGAGTTTTGAGCCCGAGTTCGACGCTACGCCTGTTGAGCTTGTAGACCGTTCATCATGTGTGTCCTCCACATGTTGCGATCTGCGTTGCCCCGGGTACGCTCGCACAAACTTGCTTTATGGCAGTTGGGGCGTTCAATCTTGAGACAGACTCAGGTGACATGAATATTGCTGCAGAGCGGAGGGGGGAGGAAAAAAAAAAACCCAAGAGGCCTCAACAAGCGCCCCAGAGGCCCCCTAGAAACCCCAAGAGGCCCCCAAGAGGCCCCCAAGAGGCCCAAATGAGGCCCCAAAGCTGCTCCCGAAACGCTTCAACACAGCTTCCCAGAAGCCCCCGAGAGGCCAACCACGATTACACAGCTTTCTTCGTCGGACGCTTTCCCTGTCCAGGAGTCTATGAGATACCTAAGGAATAGGCCACTTTGGCCATACAGTAGGCTACCCTACCAGACAGCCTACCACACAGCGCACCTTGCGAGTACGTGCGTCGACAAACTCCGTCAGACGGAGTTTGGCCACGACCTCTCCCCTTGGGACCGGTCTTGGGGCGCCCTTGGTGCCTTGTTGAAGCCCTACCTGGCCCTCCCTGGTTGCCTTGGGGAGACCCACGTGAGCCCCTAGAGGTCCCCAAGACGCCCACGGGTCCCCAAACCTGCCTCTCTCGCCCTGTGCCAGCAAGGCAAATTGATGTACACAGTTTTGACTCCGGCCGCTTCGCCGACGTCCACGACGACGACGACGAAAACACCAACGACGACGACGACGACAGGCGGAGTCAAAACTGTGTACATCAATCGTCGCTGGTCGTCGTCGTCTTCGTCGTCCTCGTCGTCGACGTCGTCGGCACCTGACTGTCTTGCCCTGTGCCAGCGGAGCAAATTGATGCACACAGTTTTGACTCTGGCCGCCTCGCCGACGCCCACGACGACGACGACGACGGCGACGACGAAGACGCCAACGACCACGACGACGACGACGACGACGACGGCCGGAGTCAAAACTGTGTACATCAATCGTCGCGGATCGTCGTCGTCTTCGTCGTCCTCGTCGGCGTCGTCTCCGGCACCTGCCTCTCTCGCCATGTGCCAGCGGGGCACATTGCTGTACACAGTTTTGTCTCTGGCCGCCTCGCCGACGTCCACGACGACGACGAGGACGAAAACGCCGACGACGACGACGACGACGACGACGATGACGGCCGGAGTCAAAACTGCGTACATCAATATGCCCCGCTGGCACAAGGCGAGAGAGGCAGGTGCTGGAGACGACGCCGACGAGGACGACGAAGACGACGACGATAGGTAGAGAGGGGCCCTATGATGAAGTAAGGTGGCGGAGGAAGGCGAGGAGGAGAAGGA